TAAATGAATAAGAAACTCATATCCGGCAAGTGGACCCTTTCAAGTGGAAAAAAGCCAGTAATCTACTCCGACAAACACGTGACCACTCCCAACCGGAAGGTCACGTGCCCGACCAATCAAGGTCCAACAGAAAAGTGCTGCGCCTTGAAAAAGGCTTCGTAGGGGAAGACGCTTGCTGAGGAAGTTAGTTCACATTATAAATGCCTCGTCTGATCGCCTAACCACGTTCGATCGACAAAGTTTCGTTTGTCGAATGTTGCGGATTTTGCAACATGAACACAAAAGATCGTTCTAGCAAGCGGCATTCGTGGGATGTTTCTTCTGCGCGTTCAAGAAAGCATTTTAACCTGGCTTCCTTGCTTGAAATAAAACGTTCTCTGAGCCGTTTCTCGTCGCAATATTGTCGCCCCTAAGCGTGACTAGAGGTGATAAAAATTTAGAAAACCCTGTTGGATGGAAACGCGCTCGTTTGGCAATAAACTCACCTTTGCAAGGTCTACCAATGAGTCCGACTTGTCCTGCATTTCCCGTTGTTTCACCTTTATCTTCCGTAAACTGGGATGAAGGAAGAGGAGAGTCGGCAAGTTTTTTTGCAACTTTGAAACAAACCGACAAAATTTGTGAAATGGATTTTCTTATGAAAAAATTCGGGAAGGTTTTGGAACACTTGGAAATAGGTTTTCACCTCTTTGTGAACTACGCCCGTCAAAAGAGGGTTGTGCTCGAAGCAAGATTATAAACAGCCTACAAAAGATTTCGCTTTTTCAAAAGTACTTTGTTTATCGATTTTCTGCGAAAGGGTTAACAACTAGAAGCATTTTCGTAAGTTTTAGATTTCCTTATTCGTATTACTGGGCTTTGTGCTTGTTATTCCTTGTCACTTATCAAATACTAAATAATAATAATAGCAGTTGAGACGCACCATACTACTCATAATGTTGCTGAAAACTTTTCGACAGCCCACAACCGGTTTCGCTCTCCTCCAGGCCTTTCAGGCAGTCGCAGACCCCCTGCTACTGTCAAATTTGCGTTCTTTTGGAATCCAAATTCCACGAAATTAGCGAAATACACTCATTAGAAAACAGACCCCCTGTGTCAAATTTGCGTTCTTTTGGAATCCAAATTTCACGAAATTAGCGAAATACACTCATTAGAAAACCAATTTGGTTTTGCGGGAGACTCACCTGAAACCCATCTTAATCATTCGTTTGTGATGTTTTTCGGCTCTTACACGCTTTCGGTGCTTAGATGCTACGTCACTGAATGACGGAAAAGGATTGAGATACAGCCAGGCTACCGGAGCCCAGGCTGGAGCATTCGAGTTTGGGTTCAATCCATGGACCCTGCAGTCGGTGACTTCGCCCCTTGATCAATGATCTCTCTTGAGCTCAATTGCCAATCTGTCTTCCGTGTTCACAGAATGGAAGTGAATGCAGACGGTAATGGAAGCGCCCTCCCCAGATAAGTTTCTTCCATTTTTTATGTGAGCACCAATCGGAGCGAGATCCGCTCCGCTGTCTAGTCGACACCTGCCAGGTTCTAATGTCACATTACAAGGGACAGTACTCCCCAATCACCAGTTTATTGTCCGATTATCCATTCCCATCCAAATGACCTCGTAAGGGACGCCCCCTGAAGAAAACAATGTCAAATTATCTGGGTGGAAGGAAGGTTTCCCACTGGAAATTAGAGCAATTGACGATGAGGTGTAAAACAGTTATTGATGTTGCTCATTCATATACAGTCACTCTGGGGCCGATTAGTGGCGCTCAGTAGGTCTCTGCGTGTTTTCGCGTTCAGTTAATTACAAGTAGCATAACACGCGACTCCGAGCAAACTACTTGTCATTAACCGACTTTGGATCAATACCTGCACTCTAAAATTTCATCTTCGGTGTATATAATATAATGTGTACATAAAGGCAGTTTAGAGTTTTCGGGAGATGTGGTCTTCACCTGGCTGACCACTTGTTCAATTGAAAACTGTTAACAAGCCAAATATTTACCGGTGTTATTTTTTTTACTGATAATCGTGCATTTTCGTCATTCTACAGTTTAAAACATCCCTCTATGGATCTCTAGGTAGATTCGTGCCTACAATCATCGAGTAAGTAGTTGAGAACTTAACTGTTCGGTCACGAGCGGCTGATCGGTAGTGTGGTCGAATCGCACCGACACACGATATAGAGCCACTCACCATTCAGTTCCAAAAACCGCATCACGTGGTCACGTGCTGTCTCATTTTGTCGTTTTCTAACAGCCTGTTTCTGACAGGCACCCCATAACTCACTACCAAGTACAGAGGGATAAATTCTGGAAGACTGGCGTATTCTTTCGGAGTACACACTATTCGGGAACACACTAACAAAACGACTGACAAGGAGGTGGACATCAGAACTCAAGGTCGCTGTCCCTTTTGGAGGACTTCAAACAGTTGTATGGAACAAACACTGTGTTCGAGCAGACGTTGTCTCCGGGTTGGGGCTGTTAGCTGGCTCAGTTTGTCCGCAACCTCAGTGACGGTTTAGGCTGGCACATCACCAGTCCCGCTTCTCCAATTATCGAGTCTTTCAGAGGCCGGAAACATTTGGACACGAGGAAATTTCGGTTCGCGAACAGCTCTGCCAAATAAGCTGCTATTTTAGCGAAATACCCTCGTTTGCAAACGAATTCGGTTTTGCAAGAGACTCACCTGGAACCCAGCTGAATCTCCCGTTCGTGAGGTTTCCAGGCAAATGAAAGTGCAGCATCAAGCCGCCTCATGGTTCAGTCGCTACGATATTCGGGATATCACGATACGTGTATATTCGTAATGCAATACTGCTATTTTAGCCACTTAATAATGCTCTATCAGGTCAAAAACAGATTCGTTTGAATTTTAAAAAACTCATTTCGTATAGGCTTAACACACTACTCATGGGGCTGCTGAAAACTCTTCGACAGCCTACGTTCGTTTCCGATCGGGGCTCATCCGGCAGGCACAGTCTCAGAGTTTCACTTCAGTCAAACCAATGTTCTGTGTGAACTTCGAGTCATACACTCATCTGCACACCAATTTGGTTTTGACGGGAGATCCACTGAATCTGTCGTATGAGTCATCCTTAAGCAACTTACGTAAGGTCAGATTTTTGATGACCATACTTCCTACTTCCTTCCTGTAGTTTCCGTCTTGTTCCGGAAACCTTATTCGTAACTGTCTGCTAGCTTCCCACTATGGAAAGCATACATCAACGGTTACGACTATTGACTACACGTTGAAGCTTCCGAGGACGTAATGCGCAGGGCCTACCACACCAACCTGAACAACTTCCCTGACTATCAAGCTGCTTACTGAGTTCGTTCAATCAAAACTGCGCGTTCCCCGACTTCTCGATACGTTGGAGTGCATTAAATAGATTCCAAAGTGACAGGCTGATATGCTACTTACTAGCAGAGCCTTCTTCGAATCACTTATTTTATCTGTCGTCCCAGTAATCAAATAAAAAAACAGATGGCAGCATCAAGAAACTGCTAAGAGCTACACAGATGCTAGCTTACTTTAGCCATCACCCCTACTTTGAAACAGGGCTCAAGGATCAGCGAAATACACTCATCTGCAAAATAACTTGGTTTTTCGACAGACTCACCTGGAACCCAACTGAATCTCTCGTTTGTGATGTTCTCAGGCAACTGAACGTGCTGCACCAGACCGCCTCATGTTTCAGTCGCTACGATATTCGAGATATCGCGATACATATATATCTTTGTAATGTACTACTCATAAGATTGCTGAAAACCCGTCGACACCCCACGACCGGTTTCGCCCTTCATAGGGCTCATCAGGTAGTCACAGTCCCCGAGTTTCCGCCAACCTTATGTTCTAACTGAAACCAAATTGCACGAACTCAGCGAAATACACTCAAAGATGACCTACTAGTCCACAGCGCTGACCTCTGTTAACTGTAACCCTACATTCACAATTGTGGCGTGATCTATTCGAACTATTATTTCAGCTGTAGCACCCTTTCGCTGCTTAGTCGCCATGTAAACTGAAGCATACACGAGGGTTGGGCTACTGCCGGATTGCTCAAGCCTAGACAGGAGCAGCTGAGATGCTGAGGTTTGGTTTGAACCGCGAACCTTCCACTCTGTAAGTTGGCGTCTTGATCACTGAGCTATCTAGAGCCCTGTATGGTTCGTATGACTCGGCGATTGCATGAAGGACTGGCTGAACTTATGTTATCTTGTGAGAGAACGTGCGAAGCCTAGCTCGATCGCAGCTCGCTTAGTCAATCCGGTTGAATCCACTCCGAATGCGTCCATTTGGCCGAACTCGCAGCAGACGAAACAATTGCGAGTGCGTTACGCCGACCCTGAGTATGCCATCAGAGATGTCGACTAGAAGCAATGATCCCATCTTGACCACTGAATCGCCGTCATTCGGCCAATACGGACTACACAAATCCTTGTCGCATTGAGATAAGATTCCCGTCCTCTCGTGTTGTATCCAAATTTGAAACTCTACTCGTCAGTTGGAGTCTTATCGCAAACAGCTGTCCGCACAGCCATGTGTCATGATGGCATGGTCGCCATATGCCGAATAGATAGCAGCCTTGAGCGATTTGTTTTGTTCTAAAAATTCCAGCAGCAAAATCACGGTAAAGTCAGACGGGATGCTTCCAGAAATGTTTCCAAACTGAACTCGATATATTGTCCAAGCTGAATCCCGCCTAGCTGGCTTTACGTTGGCAGAAAGATTAACACTTATTGGCAAAAACGATCAACACTGAATTGTCCATTATCCAATCATTGGGTGACCTTCGGCGACCAATCAGCTGCGTTCATCGGTCTGAATTGGGTAAAATCAGCTGAGCATCCTACCCGTATACTAATCTACATATACTCGGATATTATACCAACGCTGTCAAGTTTATGCTGTGAATTTTCAGCATTTTCCAGCAGTAAAATTTACCTATCCATCAGAATTCTGACGCCATTGAGATAACGTGTAATTCATTTTTCCCATCGCTTAGCAACGGGGTTAAGTAGATAGTACGTCAGACTAAGTCATTTCAACAAAAAGGTCACTCTAAGTTATTTGATCGGCATTATTTGTGACTTAAAAGTTAACCCTGTGTGTGTTTCAGTCACTTGGGAAGTCTCGGCTGTCGGAGGTGGGATTATGCTGATTTTGTACTGGATAATTTGAAATTTCTTGCTGAATTTTGTAAAGTGGCGAACCCCACTCTAGGTACTTTCTTTCCGACAAGTAATCGGCAGAACCCGAGTAACCAACACGTTTAGTTGGTTGTTGCAGCTGCAACCCGTCACGTCTTCCCACATCATTCTTAAAAACTCACCTATGGAATATGCTGTGGTTCACTACTGGCGCCATCGGGCATTTTAATTTAACGGCCACCAGCAGTGAGGGCGACCATACGCCCTCCTTTCGGGTGTATGCACAGATGTTTGCTGTCTTCACCCTGAAGCGGTTTAGTCGCACCAGTAGCCACTGGGCTACGTAGAACGGGCACGCATCAGGCACATATTTTTGCGGCTAAATAGAAAACATTCTCTCCCCATTCTTACAGGGGGGAGAGAAAATCGTCCCCTTACATTAATAGAGGAAGCTTGTATTTGTGTTGGATGTCTACTACTTTCGGAAATTCGCCAAAATCTGAGAAGATAAATTATTCTAGTCATCTGATTAATCTCCCCTACCGAGTTCTGATGAAGGCACCACGCAGAGAACTGGACCAAACCGTCATCCTAGGAACTTATTACTGTTGAATGCTTATCAGATTAGAACTGAGTATCAAACAAGGTAGTTCTGAAAGGGACTGTCGGGTAGGTGTTGACTGTTTCCTCAACTTGGTGTTGAGTGGTCACATTTTGTTGTGTCAGACGTGCGCACAATTTTCAGGGCTGCTGCTGTCGACTTCCCTATTGGGTCTAGCTGACACATCGATTCATGCCACTTGTTGATTCCCCCGGTGAATCAGCGGTGAACCGCGGTAAATTTCCTTGTTATCTGACTACTTGCACCTGTTTATTATGACCCCGTTTTGTCTCCTTGCTGCACGTTTTCCCCGTGTTTCATCCCTACTTAAGGGCTGTTTGTTCCTCAGTAACTGATGTCAATATTTTGTTGCCCGCCTGTCATTGCTTGCAAGTTCCTCTCGATTGCACCTATTTTTCGAGTGTCCACTCCGACGGAAAGGCGGACCAACCGGATATCGAACTCTGGACGGCAGGCGAACGCGCCATCCACTACACCAACTCGACGCCCGAAGCGGCTAATTATTTTGTCTTACCCATGTACCGCACCTACCAGATAGCCTTTGACGCAATTTGTTTTAAACGGACGAAAACGCGTAATCTGACTTGTCACGTGACACGAGCTGCCGCGTCGCGCCGCTGACCGAAAGACGGTCCCTGTCAGACTGCCCCCCATATGTATGTTTGTACATCATGTGATGCTTACCTGTTGTTGCTTCTAGAGATCCCTATTGCCTCAGTGACTATTTTCCGCTCCTGCTGATTGCGACATTATTGATTGTACGTTTGATTATTACTAATCCGTTTGTCTGTAGAACCAGTCCCTGTCAGTTCTCAATATACCCGCTGCTGCCCCACGTCTGTCTGCTCCTATTGACTACCGGTTACGGACTGCGTATAATCTAATAGCCTCAATCGTCCTGTGAAATCCGCTCGGATCTTACACGACTTTTACGAGTAACCGTAACCAACAGAGCCCAAGCCGGCTGCCGCAATCAGTGAGAAATTTTCTTGCCTCTTATGATGTCAAACGGCCCCGCCTTCCGGTCATTTTCAACGTCCTTCAGCGTCGCATCCCCAAACAGCACTTCCTAATACTCTCTCTTCCTCTGCCCCGACCTGTATCGGAACGTTTTCTGGCACAAATATTGCGTGATAGACTCACTCTGGTCTGCGTGCATCTGTAAGCAGGACTCCGGCTAAAAATAGCAACGCCACAAAGCCCATTAAATATGCAATCTCCCAGCTGGTTTTGATAAACATTCTTTCTGCAATTGCATCGTGACTTCAGTGAATTTTTGTGAAAGTCCACGTGTTGTTGTCTGTGTGAACCATTAACGCTGTTTTAGGACAGATTAACTGATTTGCATAGAACCGTGACGAATATTTTCAAGGTAACACTTAAAGCCGAGCGATTGCAACGAATTTTTCAAAAAGCGGGAAGTACGAATCAGCTGACGGGAACGAAAAAAGCAAACAAAAACAGGGTGGATGTACTAGGACTGCTCGGGTAACCAGGTGAAGAAGAGCAGCCAGAAAAGAGCAGATGGTTTAGCAATCCACGTGAACGCTTGACATAATTTGCTTCCCTAATCAGTTTAACAGCCCTGACGTGTGGCAATTCATCCACGATTTTGTTGCAATCGAAAAACGAGGATGAAGAAGTACGAACGGTCCCGAAAACTGAGAGTGAATAAAGTGTTTTTCCTTGTTACAAAACACACAACCCCACGGCAGAGAGGAGAAAATAAAAAAATCATTCGTTGTCGTTAGTTGTGAAATTTGCAGAGTGTGCGTTTATGTATGTATTGTAAATCTTAATCAAGATGTGAAAGACTGGATTCAAGTTTTGCTGTTGTGACGGCTCATGAGTAGTGTAAGCATTTGTCTCGGTTGAAAATTTCACAGCTCGTGTCTGATAAGTGGGGCCACAGAAACTACTCCAGTGGTTCATTATTCATAAGGTTGCTGAAAATCCATCGACAGCCCACGACCGGTTTCGCCCTTCTTGGGGTTCATCCCCGAGTTTCCGCCAACTTTATGTTCTACTTGAAAC